GCCACTTCCGGCTTTTTTCTTTTTGCTTATGTGGTGCTGAGGAATCGAACCCAGGGCCTCAGGCATGCAAGGCAAGCGCTCTACCACTGAGCTACCTTCCCAGCTCCGTCTTTCCATTTCTTTACAACTCGTACAACGTCATTCTTTCTCATGAATGAGTAAAATCCCATTGTGTATCACCACTGTTCAATCACCTTTTGAAGAAATTTAGTCCCTGTTAGAAACTGAAAAAGGCTCCTCCAGTTCCTGGAAGTTTGTGAGGATACTCCCTATTGCTTAGCATCTAGTAAGAAAGGTGAGGATTCGGAATGCAGGGTGACCACTGGGCCCTGGCACTATGATGCCATTCTCAAAAGCAAGGTCATATAACCTCCTTGACCACAGTTTTTCCAGCATGCTAGAACCAGTCCTTACTCGCCTCTTACATACACTAGATCTTTTCTTTTGTCCAGTTCTGGGTCTTGAACTCAGCACCGAGGCACTGTCCCTGAGCTTCTTTTGCTCAAGACTAGCATTCTACTACTTGAGCCACAGTGCCACTCTGGCCTTTTCTGTGTATGTGGTACTGAGGAATTGAACCTAGGGCTTCATTCATGCTAAGCAAGCATTCTAGGAAGCATTCTACCACTAAGCCACCTTCCCAGCTACCTAATAACTTTTCTGGGAGTGATTTTCCCTAACATTTTATTTTTTTAATTGCAAACACACAGAAGAGTAAAAACAGTTGCAAACACCCACACACTCACTGACGAGATGCTTCAATTGTTTCTCATCCCTCACAGCATGATTTTTATATAAATTGCAATCTGTGCACTTTACCCCGGAACCCTTCAACATGGCTTTCATCAATATCACATGGATATTTGTTTGTGGGTTTTTTTTTTCTGGTGGTAACGAAGAATTGAGCTTGTAGCCTCACACTTACTAAGCAGGTACTCTACCCCTTGAGCCATGCCTCCAGCCTCTTTTTTGCACTGGCTATTTTTTATATAGGGTCAGTCACCCATTATACTTGGGCTGACCTGGACTGCACTTGTGTTTCCCCATGTTGCTATAGATGATAGGCATGCACTACTGCACCCAACCACCGATTGAGATGGACTCTGGTAAACTTTTATGAGGGATCTGGCCTCAAGCCACTGTCCCCCATCTCTGCCTCCTAAATGGCTAGGGATCACAGGCTTGAGCCACTCTGCTTGGCTACAGTGGTTGTAACCATCACAGAACCCCTTCTGTTTCCTTTGCCCAATCCTTCAGGGCCTTTATAAGCTTAAGCCAGTGCTTCCCGCACACATCAGTCTCTTCTGCCTTTTCTTGGCAGGTGCTCTCCCATTCTCTGCTGGCTCCCTTCTAGTTTACATGAACCTGGAGAAAATCTGGAATGGACCCCGAGACCAGTTCTCTCTCCTGCAGAACTTTACCAATGTCTGTCTGGCTGCTGCAGTGAGCCAGACCCTCTCCTTTCCCTTTGACACTGTGAAGAGAAAAATGCAGGTGAGGAGTGATGGTGGTGGCTGGGGTCAGGGGAGGCCTTGAAGGGTTTGTGGATGGCTAACAGCAAAGAACGCCGACCTCCCCTGGTGAATGCCAGGTTCCCAAGGAGCTAAGAACTGCTCCTCCCAGCACTATGCCAACCTCAATGTAACATTTCTGCTGCTGACCTCGGGGTTGCTGGCTGGAGCCCAAGCCCCACATCCCCTCCTCTGTTCTTTTATGAAGCTTGCAGGTAAGGCCTCCTTTTCTCTCCTGTCTTCCTGGATACGTCACTTCCTCCAACACCTGCAAGGACAAGAATGTAGAATGCAGCCCCCTAACTCACACTCCTTTCCACCTCCACAGCAAGGGCGCACATTCCTGCATGTCATGGTCCTTACCTTGGCAAAACCCACTGGCTAGAACGAACCTAAGCCAAGAACTGTAGCTTACAAGGCTTGTGTGGTCCTCAGCTCCATCCTGGCTATGGAAGGAACTGCTTTTCAAATGGGCGGGTCTTAATGGGATTGGCCACACGTGATCAACCACAATGTCTTGTCATTGAGGCAGAAGCCTAGAAGCAGAGGCTCCAAAGTGACTAGTTGGCTTAGCCTAGAAGAAGCCATTTTGCATAAAAGATAAATCAGTTAACACGGAGTTACTCTGCTTCTGTATAACAGGAAGGCTCACAGTCCAAGCAGGGTTGAAGTTTTGCATCTTTCCCTATCCACTCATTCCTGCATAATTCCACTTCCATTGGCTTAGCTGCCTCCCTTGCCCCCTCTAAGCAAACTAATTCAATCTGTGTATTCCTGAAGAGCTCTGTGCAAATTAATTCAAGATCAGTTGCATGACATTTTAAGTGATTAGTTCCTATTGTTGGGTTCCCCACCTGATTTTGACTTGTCCCTGTGCCTCTTCAATGCCCTTTCTCATTCTTCAACTTCCCTTCCCTAGGACCTTTTTTTATGTGTGCCAGTTCTGGGGCTTGAACTCTGAGCCTGCTTCTTGTCCCTGAGCTTTTTTGCTCAAGACTAGTGCTCTACCACTTGCGCCATAGCTCCACTTCTGGCTTTTTTTTTTTTGGTGTTTTTAATTGGAGATAATAATCTCAAGCTCCACTTCTGGCTTTTTGTTGGTTTACTGGAGATGAGTCCCTTGGGGGGGGGGGGGCTGGGAAGGTGGCTCAGTGGTAGAGCGCTTGCCTTGCATGCATGAGGCCCTGGGTTCGATTCCTCAGCACCACATAAGCAGAAAAAAAAA